TTTTGTAGGCTGAAGCTACCAAAATTGTTTAGCCCCTCCCTTGCCAAATCCAAAATATAATCTAGGCTATGACTTATTCTCTGTTGCGCTATCTTCCTTATTTTGCTGTTTCATGAAAAGATTCGGAGTATTCGGTGAACTTTGGTGAATTGCTTGTGTTGCTATTGCTCCTTCTTCTCTACCATTAAAACGCAACTTCCTAGCTCCTATGCCTAGGCCTAGCACCTAGGGGGGTTTTCAAGTCCCCTTTGCTGTCAAAGTGGGTGAGCCATCCTTATTTGCTGACAAGTTTGGAAATTTGCCGACTAAGTACCTCTAGATGGCAAAATTAATTTTGTTTTTGCAATGGATTTTTTCGAAAGGCCTGCCTGCAACCACCTATGTATTATTGACATGTAACTTACAAAAAGGAAGCAAAAAATAAATACTCTTCTGTGTTGTATTGAGTTCTTCACGAAATGCAGAAGCAAATATATTCATTGACACGAAGTTCCTGTGCTTTCCAAAACAATATAAGATTGGTGCATGCTACGACTACAAACTTTTTGAAGGGATACTTTATGTTTTATTTACTGAGCCTCAATATTCTTAACTTTTTGGTTTTGAGCCTAAGACTTTTCTTAAATTATTCCTAAGTTACACAAGGTGCAACCCTGTTGCATTATAGTTTTATTTCATTTCATAACATATAGCGTAAAAATCGCAATTGATTCGCTTTCCAAAAAACTCAAATAGACACAAAAATTGATTCTTGATAAAGTTTGAGCCTTGCATTATTCCTAAATTATTCTTAAATTTCAGCGATTTTGAGCCTTAATAATCTTATAGACTCTATGTAGACTATATTATTATAAAAAGAAAAATGTGCAGTGACTGGGTCTTCCTTTACCTTTTCAAGATTCAACTTACACGCGCGGTTTTCATATAATCAAAACGTATTATCATCACGTATTATCAATTATTGTCATTATGCAGTTTTTTTAATACAGAAAAACATGGCAAACAATACGTGTTTTTTGCCGCAGCATTTTTGTTCATTTCAATAAGCCGGGGAAAGGAAAGCTAGCATCCGTATTCGAACATTGGATAATCATAATCATCAGTGATCAGTGTCTGTGATAAGAAGTAAAACAAGCAATAGAACTGTTAATTGATATCTTGAAGATCTAAAGAAACGAACTGGACGATTTTCAGTGCATGAGAAGTCTCCTTAGCAATGGTGTGTCAGCAAACTTGCCGATTACGATCTACCCTGGGTACCAGACTCTATTTTATTTTGTATATAGTGAGTCTGGTACACAGGGTAATTACGATCATAACCGAGTGTCTAATAATTCAAGCTCAACATTTTGTAACCTCTCTTGGCCCATCGTTGATCGAAGCCTGTTTTTTTACACACTTTTACTTTGAAGGTAAATGAGAATGTAAAGGTGTCATTTATAATAAAACCAAGCATTGTCTTTCTTAAGCTTATTATAGCATTATAAATTTCTCGAACAGATGGAATGATGGTATACAAAATTTGACAAGATCAAACAATTTCTTCCAGTGGCATGGTTCCAATTAGATAAATAAAAAGAAATTTCAGCATGAAACTTCGTTTTTCTAAGTAAACCCCAAGGTTGTGATCACAGCACTTTTATAGGTTCGTTTCATTTAAAATGCAATTAAAAGTAATTTATACGACCATAGGAAAAATATTTCCTCACCCTCCGTGCCTGTCGTGGCCTTCCCAAAACAGCGGTTGTAGATCAATTCCTTCCCAAGTCTTTTTTAACTTCATTTCTTAATGAAAAATCGTGATTTCTATGATAAAAACATCAAGAATAAGAAGGACGATATAGACTCCGAATTGGTACTTTCTGGTACTTTCTGGAACTGGTACAAAGGAGGGATTTAATTTTTACATGAATAGCACTCACGTTTTACGGACAGAGCTAGAGATTTTGGGTAGCACCTATTTTACAATACTTGTTGAAGAGTCTACAAATTTCAAATAACGTTTGGTAAATTTTCTATTTGACATCTGGTTTCAAGTTTATTGAAACATTTTTCTGCTAAATAACAATGACAGTTCTGGGCCCAGGTTTCCGGTAAAAGAGGCTATCCGTGCGCTCTCTGCTTCAAACCAAACTTATTTGTTGGTATCATAATGCATAGATCATCATGAAACTAATCTTTTAATGGGGCTTGGCTTTGCGCGTAAACGTAGCACCACCTTATTAATCTTTGTAAACCAAGGTGACCACAGATCGTTTTAAGAATTACTTAATAAGAGTCAACTTTTTGTAACACGTCCCATTATTGAGGGCGTTGCACATCACAAATACCAGTTATTTTGCAGTATAAAAATTTGAAATTCTAGACACTCACGGTTTTGAACGAGGAGGAGTTTTGCACAAAATTAACTGATCTCTAAATTATTTATGAATTTCTTAGCACTTACCACTCAAGGTCATATTAGGTCAAACACTGTATCCAGCCTTTCTTTCACGGTTACTCGTGAAAATGTTTTTCTTTGTCTGCTAATTGTTTCAAATAAGTGTTTGAAGCAGATGTACAACATCTTATACTGCTTGTGCGACTTTAAACAGCTTTATATCTGTTCCAGTACGTTGCCAAGCAAGCTAACCCAAAAAGATCGCATCCAAATTTATTCATTCCATTCTACAATATACAAACACCTATTCAGGTTCTAGTAATAATTGTTATTTTTGAACTGACAAATAAAAGAACTTCGGAAAATACAATCCTTTTAGTTTAATACAAAAGATACAAACTCTTAGTAAAAATCAGATCGAAGTTTTATATACATACATTTTGTATTGCTGATGATTTATAACTTATTACTTTAAGAGATAGATTTCTTGCAATTGGTGCTACGGACGACAAGTTTCTCATTTGTCCCTTTTAAGAATGCAAGCAATCAATGCATGCAAATTTTGTTTCTCTAATGATCGGAATCTTGTCTCCTTTGATCCTTATTGCCAAAACGTATGAAACGTCAACTTGGCTCAATTTCCAAAATTGAAACATCAATGAAAAATACAATTACTTTGAAATCTTCTTTTTGAAATACACTGCAGAAAACCAGGTTGAGCTTCGTAAATGCTTTGTGCTTCTACAGGCTATTAGAATCCACAAAAACCAGTTTTCAACACCATATAACTATTCAAACAATAAAAATTCACTGTAAAGGTTGTTACAAACGGTATGGACAGACGGAACTTTCTTAAGTTGGCCACTAATAGAATTGAGAAAACCGTTTGCAGAACAGGATTGGAGTAAATTTTCACAAATGAAGTAGGAATTAATTGAATTGACAAAGCCAGCATAGTACAAGATTTAGAACATTAAAGTATTTTCTACGAAAAAAGATTATTAAACAAACAAAAAATTCAAGACCTTTGTGGCATGGATGTGCAGATGTAAGGCACCGTAAGTGTAGTTGTAACTTTAGTTCTGTACTCTTAGCTCTCTTAATGTGTGCTCAAACTTACATCTGAGAACTTTCTTGCTGATTATAAATGCTACGCTGTTGTAATAGGTCTTAGCCCCATAGCACAGAAAAAATGGTTTTATTTCATTTGCAGCGTGAAAAACTTTTAACATCTCAGCATTCTAAGAGAAGGACATTGGGGAACATAGGGGATCTTATAACATATCAACTAAAGGGAGATTTCCCCACCAGGCCTTAAAATTCTCCACTAGTTGGCCCATGATTCCCCAGTAGCAAGTTTCGTTTTGTTCAAAATTGATTTAAAAACCATTTCATGCGTGTTATGTCATTGTCGTCTATGCATGTGTCAAATTATGAACATTATTTATTTCGTCTCATAAATGAAATGTAATTCTCTGACTCTGTTTGATTTACTTGCACTACACCAAAGCGAGGTAGTGAAATTCGCGTTAAAAATCCACGACAAATGCTTTGCAATTGTTGCTTGCGTCTTTGTCCTGCAAACATGCAAGATCTGAACGCTTGTTATTTTGTCTGGCTTATAATTTGCATTTTTCGCAGCATCCATGCTTGCTCCCATTCAAATAAACTTAGAAAATAACAAGAAACTCAGAGAAATATTAGTGGCAAATAGGCAAGCCATGTAGCATGTAGCCAATAAAAAGCTGTTTTTGTTTTTTGACTTTTGTGTGATACTTCCTAAGAATTTACGATTACTCAACTGGGGGTAGGGACTGATGTGCAAGACCTTGAAGCCTGACATGCTGTGCACACTTGTCCCTTTGCTTTTATTTTTGCCGTCAGTTGCGTGACATAAAGAAAAATGCCCTTTTGTGTCAATTTCTCACCAGTGAAAATTTCTTAAACGATCCCCTGGAGCTTCCGATTTTTATTGCAATTTTTATGGCTTCTGCACTTTCTTCCGTTTGATCTCGAAGTTTACCATTGTAGCCTTACCAATAGTGTTCAATTCTTCCAGTGAGGTGTGAGGCTCTCGTTCCTAGCCAAAAATAGAGAGGTCCGCTATTCAACAGATCCAACAGATTTCAACTAAGACAAAGCAAGGAACCAAAAGGCGACCCCGTAAGAACAATGCTTCATATTACAGAAATATTTGGATTGAGGAAATTTTATAGATTTTTTATAGAGAGCTTTTGGAAAAAGTGGAAAAAATTTTCCTAATGTGAGTGAAATGATTTTTTTATTGTCTGTCACCCTACACCCTCATGTATTTTATACGGATTTATGCAAATAAGAATTCTTGGCAAATATTGGGGAGGAAACTTTCTCTCCAGTCCTCCCCGTGGCCCCGCCTATGCGGCCAAATGGCTACCATAAGCCCTGTTTACACTACTAGTGAACTATAGAATTCTTTTACCCTGCTTGGTCCCGCATTTTGAGCCCATTTCTGAAACCATTGTCAAGCCTTCATACAGGTACAACCCCTACGGCATCTAGAAACAGTTTTTCGTTAAAAGAAATCCAAGCATAGTGGGGAAGCCCCAACCGTCACATTTTAAGACAATGATGTCATCCTAATGCTGTAGACTATCCCCAGTCCCCGTCCTGTTTGTGCTGAAGGGAAAAGAAGATGTAAAAGCAGCATGTAGCAAAGGTCCTGGTGATCTTTGCAACCAAATCAGAAGCACAGTAAAGAAAACAATATGCTGAGGAAGTTTATCAGCTTTACCCCAAGAGGTATGCCGAGCTTCAAGTTTATTTTCTTCTAGTTGTGAAAGAAAAGTGAACCTCAAGAAATTGCTAGGCCTATATTTAGAATAGAAAACGTATCTGTTTATAAGGGTAAAAGGCATTGCTCTGGCCAGGGTGCAAGCCATGCAAACCCTACCCCGCAGGTACTCCACGGCATGGAACATATGCTGGGGGCTAACAATTTGATATAAACATGGGTTCATGGCAGGCTCAAAAATTTAATGATCAGGGGTTGTTGTAAAAGTAGGTAAACCTTCAAAACAATATAATTACCATTGTTTTCAACATCTACAGGAGTAAGATATTCTTGGTTTCGAGTTAGCATTGTCAATTTTTTGTCTTCATATAAGCTAAAACTGGATCATAGAAGTCGAGTTTTTCTGTAGAATTTTGTCTGTTTCAAACATTTCATGTTGTCTGGACAGTCAGGCTGCCAATTATGTCGTTTTTGAAACTTGGCTCTTCCTTTACATTTCATTGGAACTGAAATTTCCGATCAAATCTTTAGGAATTCAAAGTAGGATTCAAAAAATTCAAAACGTAATAACTCGCAGTCAAACAGTCCCAAATGACAAGAAGTTTTCAGTATAGACTTGTTTCAACATGAAGTTGCAAATCTAAGGTCTGTAGATAGTGAGATCCAAAGAAGATGACATCAACTCGAAACCAAAAATGGATAGTTGGTATAAGGACAATGGATCATAAACTTGCAGACCAAATGGTTTGAGTGACCGTTGTTTCTAAAAGATTAAACACTCCAAGAACAGGCTGAACATCCAAAAAACACCCCAAGAACACCCTAAGAACAAGCTTATAAGCGACAGAACACTTTTCAAAACATATCAAAATCAGCATATCAATCGAAACTAATTTGGTCAATCAATCAAAATTAATTTTAGGGCAAGAAAGCACCTGATTACTCTAATGCTGTTGGTGTTGTTACAACCAACTTGTTAGAATTATCAGGATGTGTCTGGCCCCAAAATTACTTTTGATTGATTGTTCAAATTATTTTTCGAATGATATGCTGATTTTGATATGTTTTAAAGGGTGTTCAACCACTTAAAAGCTTGTATTTAGGGTATTTTTGGGGTGTTCTTGGGGTGTTCAGCCTGTTCTTGGAGTGTTCAGTCTTCTAGAAAAGATGTTCGGTGACAGGGTTTTAAAATATTTTGTGATTGCTCAATAACAAAAATTCAAAATTATATGATTGTGTCCTATTTCATATATATATGAGATGTGATCAGTTCTAATTTTTTCTCTTGCTTGATTTAAGAATTTAAACATTTTCAAACCATTACCAGGGTATCAGCTCCTTGGACAGAATGTGAGGTCTTGCCAAGCAGTTGCCCAGGCCTCAGTTTCACCACCAGATGGCAATAAAGGAAAGCTCTCCAAGTTACCTTTGATCCCTGTCTACTCTGCTGCTAGCATCAAGTGCCAAGCTGAGAGTACTGAGTTGAAATGTGCTGAAAACCTTATCATCAGCCTTATTGAAACTAAAAGAGCTCCTAGAAATGAGCACATTGAAGGCTTCCTAGAGTTTCTGAGAGAAAATCAAGAAAAGGCATATGGAACTGCATTGGGAAAAAGACTGTACTTGGTTAGTATCAGTATATCCTAACATGTATAAAAATATTTATCTTCAATAAAAACATAAAGTAGATAGAACAAGCTATTTTCCATGTTAGAATTTATAATTTCTAGTAGATGCTGTGTATGAAAGGTATTTATAAACTTTATTTGTATTTAATTATTTTAAAATTCAAAAATGGCTTTCAAAATAGCAAAACTTTCAAAGCAAACATTTTATGACATACTACAACTTTAAATCTTTATAATTCCTATAATGTTTGATTTTCACAAACCCATTTGTATATGTATTTTACTTTACATGACAAAATTCAAGGCAATGCTAAATTTGATTACTTTTTATTTATTTTTTTATACCTTTATCAAGACAAATTTTTGAAGGTTTTCCTTGATATTTTTTGTGGTTTTCTAATTTTTTCTTTATTTGCCTCATTGTAACCTTTCCTTCCAGTCCTTTTGGTCTATGCCTGACCACTTGATACAACTTACTTTTAACCTGTCTATTGTCAACAGGTCTCGCATTCTGCATTTAGTCAAACTGTGAAACTCTGAGTATAGGCTTGAAAATGCCTTCTTTGATGCACCAAATTCATTTCTATTTATACTTTACTGTTTTAGTGGTGCTCAGGAGTCCTAGCATTAACAAGTGCCTTATTGTGCCAAAAGTGGTTTCTGAAGGATGATTTTATAAACAAGGCTCCTCGATGGTTTGATGCAAAAGTAATACAACAGGCCCTCCAAGGACATTTTTGGGGTGTTCCAAGGGATCTGATAGTTCTGTCTGTGAAAGCCACTGATGAAAAGATAGAAAAATCTGAGGTACCTATTTTTGGACACTTACTCAGGGAAATAATTGAATAAATTTTTGAATTTATTAATATTTGCTGAATCTAAAATTCAAATATACTTGAACATAGAAAATAATAAAAAAAACTCAATTCCTCTTCATGTACAACTACCATTTTTCCTTTCCTTTCTTTCCTGCAAAATGTTTAGCAATGAAACAAAGATACTAAATGTAACCTTATATAAATTTCTCTTTTATTACTCAGAACAATTCAGTACTTTGTGCGATATTATGCTTCACCCAATGCTAGTTAATTATTGTGCAAACCAAATGTAATGGAAACTTTAAAGAAGATTGTTTTAAATAGAAATTGGACTTAAAGGCATTGAGTCATGATAAAATGGATTGGGTATACCCAAAGTGCCAAAATCCTCTGAGTCACGATTTTCATGACAGCAATGCTATTGGTTGACCTTAAACTGGTCACATGAACTCACCTCGTACTGATTAACAAAACAGCTTTTATCAATATCAAGTTGTCAACAACGGATGCCTATATCACATAAAAAAGAAGCTATCACGCCTAAGCCAAATGACTCCTAAAGAAAAGGCCTATTTACAATGAGTTGATGCCTTTAAGTAGAATTTGCAGTTATACAGATTATTGATTTGTAACTTGTGGTATTTTGAGCCAGATGATGTTTCTCAGTACAGGATGAAGATATTTTTCATTATCCTGAAACTGAACTAGCAGTCTTTTCTTAGAAGGAGTGTCTAATTGACCAAGCTGCAAAAGACTTCAAAGTGAAGGCTGATGAGTGTACAGCAAGCATCTTGAATAAGCTTGGGATTCAATTGATTAATTCAAAGCAGGAATCACAAGTATGTTTACTATTTTAAAAGATTATAAGTTTTGCCTGTTAAAAAATTCAAAAATTGTTTCAAAAAAGGAAAAAGTGCTTCTCTAAAAAACAGACTGGAAATAATTTACCATGAGTTATATTGGGTTGAAAATTTTTTTTTACAAATATCTAGATTATTCAATGATTTATTTCTAGTATAACTTAGTCTTATTTTATCTGTAAAAAGTTTTAAAGTTGTCCTTTATATGAAAAATAGTTGAGCTTTTTCAATTTGGTTGAGATCAGGGTTGCTGTCCTAAAAATTTAAAGAGGGGTGTGCTGTAGGCAAGCCTTAGAAATCACCAACAAGACTACACCCATGACCATACCAAATATGCTTCTATTTGTGTTGAGAATTCTCTGTTGTGTATATGAAATGATTCTAACTATCCACTAATTTAAAAAGGCTGAAATGAAATTGATCATTCACAGAAAGTCTATAGCATAATAATGAGTTGCCAACTCAGAATTTTTCCAACCAAACATTTTCTTGCTTGTTGAAGGGAGGAAGGGATGAGCCCCCCAAAACCCTTTGAATTTTATAAAGATGCTCACCTCCATGGTATCCCTGATTGAGATGTAACCAGGCAAGGGCCCCTTTCATGTCATGTCACTGTAATATGGTGTTGGTGCTAAATTTATGACCAAAGCTTCAGGTTTAAGCCTGGCAATATTACAGCCAACTTTCAACAGATCCAAGTAATTTTTTAACTTGCATTCTATTTTGAAAGTTGCTTCTTTGACACTGTGATTAAGACTCCCCTTTTTGATGATTGCTCACAAAGTAAAAACATGTTCTTTACTCCCTCTGTGTAATTCCAACATCTATGTTAAATCGTATATAACAGCTCCCGACCTTTGCTGTATGTATTTCTTCTCTTATTTTTTTCAAGGCTATTTTTTTGCTTGAAAAGGCTGGCCAAGCTGGCAATGCATCTGCAATATATAACATGGGGCTCTGTTTTGAGCATGGCAGAGGTGTTCTGGAAGACCATTGCAAGGTGATTGAAAAAACTCTTTGAAGTTTTCATGTGTGATATATTAATCTTTTTAACTGAAGAAAGTGGGAAACAGGATAAAAAGCAGAATTAGACTAGTTTATTAAGATTTTCGTAGCAATTGTCAATTTTTGTCATAATATTTATTTATTCAAGTTTAGTCTTGTATTTCAGAGAATGAAAATTTTTAATTGAGACAACAACTGGCTTCAATCAAAGATTGTTCATCTACTGCTCAAGATTTATTTTGCTTCCTATTCAAGGAAGGGAAGGAGTGATTTTGGTTGATAAATCCCCCTAGATACACAACAACAATTGATAATCGAAATTAGAGACCTTTTAATTATCTTGATCTTGTGAACAATATTGTAAATAGTTTTCGTTAAAAATCTTGTAAACAACATCTGATCAGGAACGAAGAAACAGAAAAATTTGATGTGCTGTTAGCTGTGACCTTTCAGCTATTTAACACCCTTGAATAAAAAATGTAACCACTCATGTTTACAGGCTGCTGAACTCTACGAAGTTGCTGCTGCCAGGGGACACCCCAAGGCACAATACAATCTTGCTACTTTCTATGCTGAAGGTTCGTGTCTTGAATTTTTATCAAGCCTTTTTAATAAAAAATTGCTAGATCTAAGTAATTTTTGTTCTAAACATGCTCAAAGTGTTTATTACAAGATCTAAAATCATGATCTTTTCTTTAGTTAATGTCAACATACACTCATGGCATTTTCTCTTAAAATTGGCCTTATTTTAAGAAAATACTTTTTTTTCTATGTTACAAGAACACTCAAAACCAATCTCCAGTTCTTTAGTCTTCAAATCAATACTTCATGTTTACGTATATCTGTTATTCCTGCATTCAATTTCCGACAAAACCAGACCAATCATGTTATTAATTGTTTTTCTGTCTCCATGGCTCAATTGTACTATTTAGCTACCCTGTCAAATAATGTATTTCCAAGAATTTTAACGGTTGATATTTTTTACGATAATTTTTTCTATAGGGGCTGGGGGATTAACGCAGGATTACGAAACAGCAATTCATTGGTTCCAAAGAGCAGCTGACAATGGCATTGCAAAGGTTAGTTTTTCGATGTCCTTCTCCACTGAATCGCCGCACTTCATACCTCAAACTCTACATTACCTTCTTTCGGGGCCTTTTATAGCTGTGTCTTTGAGGGTGAGACAACAAGCTGAGCGATCGGGTAAAAAGAATGGCTAACAAAACTTTTTTTTGAGAGTTAACTTAAGTGAGCAAAAATTAAAACTCTATTGATGAATTTGCTCACTTGAGCCTTCCCACTGCTAACACAACTAGAATGTCATAAATTTTTTATAGCCATTCACTTTATTGTGGTTTTGTTGGAGTTCCAATTAGTTTTCCTCTTCAATTAGTTTAGGAATGCAATTAGTTTGATTGTTAAATAATGTATTCATCTTCTTGTCCTACCGCCTTTCCCGCTTTTCATACAAATAAACAACGCCTAATTGCTTGTAAATTTTTCACCTCCTAAATTCGGTTTCTCACTTTACCCCTAGTCCGTTTATTCCCATTTGAGAATGTTTTTGGAGTCAGTTTATATTAATTTGCTTGCAAAACGATTGACCTGCAATTAGATTGACCCAAAAAAATATTCCTATTTATGTAGTTATGGAAACAGTGATCAAAACACGTTTGTGATCATGCATGATCTAAAATGTTCGTCGTTTGATCTTAAGCGAACTAGAGCGGACGACCTATTTTAGTTGCCCCGGTTTTCATTATTGTTAATAAAATATAATTCTACAGAAATTGAAATTTACTGAGTGCTTTCAGAAAGCATTTACCTTTAATAAGTTTGCCATTTTCTTGAGTGTAATGAGTGCATTTATAATGATTTTTCACTCTTCATTTGTTTTTTTTGAGCAATTTCTATTAAAGATTTTTTGCAAGGATAAATGTATGCTTTTGTCGAACGAGTCAAAAAATCTAAATATAGATCAAGCCAGTCATCCAATAGGAGCGCAGTTTAACAATCAAAGTGCAATCTATCCTGCGAAGTAAGCAAACAGCACAATCAGATTAGGCGTCTCTTTGCGGCAGAAAATCATCCCCTACAAATAGTATAATCCTCAATGACTCACTATTTTTAGATCTTCCATCTTCTAGCTGCCCAAATACTTTAAAACAGTTTGTTCATTAGGCACAGGTATGCATGGGATTTCATTTCGCAAAAGAAAATGACCAGGAAAAGTCTGCCAATTACTTTTCTTTGGCGTCGAATCAACAGGTAAGCTTACTAATGCATTATGGTATTTATCCTTGCAACTTTGTGTGTGATTGTAATTTTACAATGAAGATACCAACCTATCTTATTAGGCATCAAATACTTTGTTTCTTGCTGCAGTACTAAAACGATGTCTATTGAGTGTCACTTTGTAAAGAAATTGTTGAGTTTGCAACTGTGTCATGGTGAAAATGAATATCCCTATATGTTTGCTTGGAAATTCATAAGTGATTGAAGCGCTTTCTATTGAATTGAACCTTTGTGACATTAATCATAGTAGCAAAATCAGTTAAATGGGCAATGAGTGAAAATATGAACTAAAATTAAATTGATTATCGTATGCGTAGTTTTAAAGCGTTAACGAGAATATGAAACAGGGAAGTTTGGCATTGACTGAAAATGATTATGCCGCAGTAAGTATATTGCTGTGTTTGTCATCTTTGTACAATTCGTTTTTGCTACTTTCCAGGATATTGTTGGGATGTATCATTATGCAATTTGTCTAGAACATGGCTGGGGAGTGGCGAAAGACGTGATCAAGGTAATCAGAAGTAGACCAATGAACGTCTCTTAATGTTCCTATTTGTAAAAACTAAGCACCAAACTTACAAATAACCAGAAGTACAGTCCGCTCTGTCCAACTCTAACTCGTGTTATTCGAGCTTTGACTAATTCGAACAAAATTTTCAGGTCCCTTTAAAATAAACCTCTAAAATTCGAATCTGTGTAAATCAAACATATCGTATTTTGAACATTTTGTCAATGTCCTAGAGAGTTTGAGTCGCTCAAATTTGACTTTAGATATTTAAGATTGGCTACAAACTGTAGTAATTACTGCAGGATATCCAACGTTTCTAGTCGGCCTATAACAGACGCCATTGTGTTTAAAGAAGGGAATGTTATTCTGTTGTGGAACCATTTTTGAACATACAGTTGACTGCTGTCATGTGGAACTTTAAAGGGATTAAGAAAATGATCAGACCTAGCCGGGGTACTTCTTTCGACTTGAACAAGGTAAGAATTTGCAATTGTAAGTAAAAGTCAGTCCGACTTATTGAAAGTCCGATTTAACCAGGGTAACCGGTTGCTTGAGCACCCATTTCCGAAGTACCTCTGTTTATCCATGGGTCAATGATGATAAGTAAAAGGTTTGACTGGCGTGCTTTCATTTCCATTCGTTGTTTTCAAGATAATACAACGGTGATGCAGCAGCAGACAGCCTATTGGCTTCTTTGGGTGAGATCTGATCAAGTTTTGGATCTCACAAAGGCTAGCCGTACATATTAACTTTGCTAATGCTGCTTGTAAGATTAAGCTGCCAGAAATGATTTAAAATTAAATCTGAGACCCATTTACGAATCGCGACTTGGATGAATTTCGACGATCTCAACTAACCACTTGGAAGGCCTCTATTATATTTGCCGCCGAGAGACCTATCCTGCCTTACCTTCACTTTACGTCTCTTAGGTGTTTTTCTTCTTTTAAAGAAACCCAGCCTCCAGCTTTAAGCTGGGAAATCTTTACACATTTGTAGTCTACTTTCAGGCGGTATTATTCATAACTAAACATTTTATTTTTTTTACTAGGCCGGGAAGTTATATAAAAAAGCAGCCGATTGCGGTCATATTTCATCGATGTTCAATGTTGCAGTTTTTTACGAAAAGGGTCTTGGAGGTGAAATTCTTTTGCAATATATTCAGATCTTAAACTGAAATATTCTTCCCAAAGTTTTTGATAAGGTTTCAAGATTGTTATGAAGGGAAAAATTTCCATAGCGAATCCACTTTTCGCTGATATTGTGCCATTTCTGTGTTTATATTCTTGCTTTTGTGGGTTTCTATCTCATAGGATAACGTCAGTAACTGTAGTTTTAGTATACTTTGTGCAAAATATATGGCAGTTAGCAACGTTTACAAGGCATGTTTTAAAGTGCCGATCGCTTCTTTCTATCCTTGTTGATCACCCATTTGTAACTGAGTTACTTTATAACTTTTAGAATTTACAAAAAGTCGCTGGAAGGCTATGTATTGGTATGAAAAAGCAGCAGATTTTGGCGACGAAGAAGCAAAGCAAAGACTTACAGAGCTTCGCGAAAGTCAGAATGAGACTAGAAGCGTCCTACACCCAATTTTGAAAAATATAATTGTGCAGAGTTTATTTAACGGTAAGCAAAGACTTGATAAAGGATTTCATAAATCAATGTCTGCTCCAAACCTGACAGCAAAGACAGCAAAGTTGACAGTGCGAGGTGAAAACGATCCGCGTGGAATTCCTGGAGAGTTAACGAGTTCGTTATCGTGCAGTTTGCAGTCGTTATCATCAGCTTCGTCGAATGGATCTTGTTTTTCTTTGGAAATTTCTTAAAAACCTATCTTCTGTTAAGAACAGAATATTTTTCTCGTCCGTCACTGTAGTTTGTAGTTATGGTTGATGATTCCAGAATTTTATAACTTGGAAGATGTCACTGCCGGTAATATGAATTCGTAAATGTATTTGTGGATTATGTACAAAGACTGTTTTTCTTGTCTTGCAAACCAGTTTATACCTGGCAATGCTTGGAGTCGCTCTTGAGTTAGGAAGCACGCGAGAAACGCGACACAAACATCACAAAGGTAAAATGCAGTGGCCATATTATGATTAACCTAATAATTATGGTTCATGTCCTGATTAACCTATATCTAATTGCGCTTCGTCTATACCGCCGTAGTACGCTCGTATTGCATCCTGCAAGTATGGAAGATACATAACGTGTCATATTAGACATGATTGCATTTTTACCTTAAGACACCCCCTGGCAATTTCATGCTCAAGCGGGAGAAAAATAGGTTGCTTCTTATCTCATTCTTGACTTCCATTACAGGCCAGATTTTGAATGTACGTGTGGCAAACCGTGACCGGCCTTGGGCCAATGTGAAAATTAAATGAAACTTTATTTTCACTGAAGCGACCCTCTATTTCAAATAGAACAGAATTTTGAGCGACCAGAAATGTTCGCATGACTAAAAGCATTAATTTTTTGCAGTTAAACGTACAAATATTAGTATTGTTAGAGCAGGTATTTAATGCATGCTATTTTTTCCATTCATAAATTCGATTGTCCCATTTACCGAAATATTTGTCCATCTCATTGCTTAACTTTATATCGAATTGTTTGAGGCAATTGCTTTCAAAAATATCTTTATTCTACAAAAATTAAGTATTTTCTGCCATTTTTCTCCGCATTGTTTTTATGAAAACTGTTAACTACAACTGTACTGTTTCGCAACAATTTCTATAGTTACTTTTTAGTTTTCTTAAAATATGAAAGGTCGATCAATTTTTTACTGTGATAACTTCACAAAGCTTTCTTCTAATGCATTGCACTTTACACAAAGAAATCCCCAACAGTCTCTAAAGCACTATACATTCATGGACAAACGATACAAGAAAAGAAAATCCACGATAGCTTTTCGTAGTCATCAGTTATTTCGGATTTCTAAGTTCCATCATAATATTATAACAATCAAACGAGGTCCTGTTTTGCAATAACAGTAGGCACATAAACCTAATTGGATAAAACTATTGTTGTCTCATAAATGTGCACCTATTACAGAATGACAAATGACAAAGAGCGATCTTCCTGGCTGCCATTTGGGAGAGGAAAAATAAAAAAACTTTCAAAAAGTTTATACTACTAGAGAAAGCGCAAGACTGCTATTTTCATGTCAGCTAATGCTGTAAAGCCATCAAAAGCCATCGTGCTAGGGTGGCCAGTGACATAAAGACATCTTCCTTAAATTGTTGATAAGCCAGGTTTTAAGAAATGCGAATACAGTATTCTCTCCAATTAGCGGACACCGTCCGGGCAAGAGCAAGGTGTCAGCTAATTGGAAGTGTCCACCTTTTTGAAATTTTTGCAATGTAAGTCTCAAATTTGAAAAATGACCCGAGCTTTGCATATAAAGGGTGTAATCAGTGGTGGCGCCAGGAGAGGGCTAGGGAGGGGGGCTACAGCCCCTCCGTCGGAAGCATCTAGCCCCCCATCGGAGGAGATTTTGGGTTATTGTCGGAAACTGCATATTTTAGTCATTTTAGCCCCTCTGTCGGAAGATTTCTTGCGCCACCTCTGGGTGTAATCTGGGTAATTAGTAGCTATTGGGTTTAACTTAGACTCTAAAAAAAGAAAAAATAACCAAAATGATATTTTCAACAAGAATATATATCAGCATCATATGTAATATCAACTAACGAGGGCAAAATTTGCAAGTAAATGTTTATTTACCATACTGTATGTTTTTGCTTAAAAGAGTCGTTAATTGATTGCTGTTCTTTGTTGTTGACACGAATAATTTCTAGTCTCTCTTTAAGTGAGGACAAAGAAGCTCTTTCCTCACTATTGAGATCTTTCAAGTTTATCAATTTATCAATCATTGTCAATGCTTTCCTCATCTTTGTCACTGTCATCAGACGAAACCTCTTCTACCTCTTCTACTCCAGATTCTTTCCGGAGATATTCACCAACTTATTTTCTACTGAATTTGCTCTCCAACCTACTTTATCAGAGTTGATTTCAAAAACAGAAGTGCACATTTCGACATCAATATACTCTTCAGCAGTTATTTCAGATTCTGTAAGTTCTTTGAAAAGCTCTTTGAATTCATCATTGACAATATCATCTTCAATTTCACAGGATTCCTTATTAAAACCACATTTAGCAAAGCAGTTTTTGATTTTTTCAACAGTAACCTCTTCCCAAGCATTAGCCACCCTTTCAATGGCTTGTAAAACATCAATTTTGTTTGTAATTTCTGATGCTAGAAAGTCATAATAATAATAATAATAATAATAATAAGAGGAATATTTATACAGGGTAGAGCCTTGTCAATACTACGGGGTATTGTTGTCAATAAGGACCCTGTTTGAAAGAAGAAAATATGTAACTCATCAAGAATACATAATACAAAGTAAAAGCGTATTTTTTTCATAACTACGATTTGTTTCCGCCTTTGCTTTTGTTTCCTTTCTGAGCCAAACCTTTGGTAGGCAAAGCTTTAAAAAAAACACCCAGTCTCATCCATATTTATTATATCTTTATCCTCATATCCTTTGCAGAGGTCTTGTACTCTTTCCATCCAAGATTCAATTGTAATCGTAGAGACATCGAGAGACTCACCAGAGATTTGTTTTTCCTTTATACCATGACTCAATTTCCATTTATCAAGCCAGCCCTCTGATGCCTTGAAACCATCCAGTCCTGGACGGTTCAAAGATTTTTTGATATTCATTGCTTCTTCTTTGAGTATATGCCTAATTACATAGATACCAGATGCCTCACATTTTTTAACCAAAAGTAAAGAATTTCATTGATTGCTTTGAACTTTTGATGGCTTCTCTGTTAACATGTTTGAAACCCTTGCCGTGAAAGCTCTGCACTTTTTCTCATCTTGCAAAACGTTGGCTGCTTCTCTTCCCAATATTGTATATTTTAGAAATCTCTCTGTAACTCATTTTGTTCTTTTTATTTCCATCTAAAATTTTTATGTTTTCATCAAATCAGAGGTGTCCGCCTCTTAGAGTGTCGGTTAATTGGAGAGAATACTGTAAACTGCCTTGTATGCTTTTGTAGGTATCTTACACGTAAGCCCCTGTGCCTTAGAGGTCACATGATGCATCATGCCAGGTATGAAATTTATCGGATCCAACTATCTGTAAAATTTATGTTTAAGAACAGATGTACTTATGAATTAGTGAGAAGAGTAAAAGTGTAGAAGTCAAATGTATGCTTGTCGGGAACTCACAACCACAATCATTCAGTTTGTTGCGAATTTTGCTTTGTTTTATTTTTATAAGGGTAAGGGACTAGAGTTCTTCCTATACAGGTGTATTGGTGCCGAAGAATAGAGACAAAAGATGCAAACGCTGGTGTGAAATTTTCTTGATTCTTATATGTGCATTCTTTTATAGGACGAGTGTGATATGCGTGTTATTTGACTGTCTTACACCGCTTTGTCTTCCTTCTACAACTTCACTTTCTACTTTGCTTCATCTTGGTTTTTATGTATTTTCTGCGATACAGTTCAGCGAAGCGTTAACATAACATTCTTGCAGCGCGTACAGTATTACTGGTGTTTTCATTTCTAAGAATTACATACTGTGAAAAACACACCTGAAAATAAATGATCGGAAGACTAGTACCTGTCTTTTCTAACCGGTTACCGCTAGGTATAAGGTTGCTAACCAACCGTATAAGGTACCACGTGAATATACTTAGGGCGTGCATTTCTCCATGCAAAAAAATTGTGTTACATACATATAGCACTTTACCAAATACCAAAATCTTAATACCCACAACAATCAAAGCGAGTACAAAAATAGACATCTCATAAGAACTGTGTTTGGCAGTCGGAAAGTTATCAAGTTTACATCTTTCGTGAGCTGCGGCGTTGCCTCTGGAAATGACCTATAACCTCACAACAATCGGTCATATTTAGACAGGTGGCAGCTCCTGAAATATCAGCCCCGTTTACACGATACCAGACTCGCTTCATATCGGATTCGTTTCATACCAGATAGGCCTTCTGTTTGCACGATGAGGACGCAATCCGATAGGCTATCGTTCGGCTTTTGTGGAGTGAAATCACTCCGCTACGAAATTGGTATGAAACCAATCCGATATGTACCGGATTCGGTAAAGTGCTCGTGTAAACGCTCGAATCCGGTATCAATTTGCTCCGCAACCTCAGTTACAATCCCTGTGGCCTCAACTCCACGTTTGGCACGTTTTTTAACAAATTGTAGTTTCATTAGTAAGAAAACAAGATGAATGCTGATAAAGAGAAATTGTTCTTTACCACAGTGATTGGTCTTGCACACACTTTTCAGAGAAAAAGCCATCTCATGGATCTTTTTTCAAGATATTTCTTATCTTTAAGAAGACTTCACACTTCCCCATTCTTTCCCCTTGAATTGAAAACTCGCTGCATGCGATTTCACGGTCTCTAGCAACAGCTCAATTTCTTGCTCAGTCCAGGAAAAATTTCTTCCTTAAGTTTCTTCCCTGCTCCCGCCATTTTTCTGTTTCAGTGACTCTCTTCAGTGCCCAGGTGGCAGGTAATATTTTGGCGCGACTCAAATACCAACGCAGAGGCCCCTAAACAAAACACTACACCCCGCAGTGCGGAGTTACTTCTATCGTGTAAACAGGAGCCCTGTCTGGTATAAAACCAATCCGATACGGTGCAGCGAATCCGATATGAATTGAATCCGGTATCGTGTAAACGCTCAGTGTCAATATTGAAGGCAAGAGGACGTAGAGAAACATGAACAAGCCACCTCCATTGATAATCCAAACCGAAGCATTTAACTTATACATAACGTACAGTTATGCTTTGTTCGGACTTGGAGGATTCCTTGTCAACATAGCAATGCTCATCGTGTTACGACGTGATAAAAGAAGTGAATCAACTTTTAATAAAACTATGGCCAGCCTTGGTATCGCTAACATGTTGATGGGCTTGATTTTCTCAACTGCTGGGTTTTTGATCGTGTCCAAGTATGAAAATGATATCTTCCTCATGGCTCTTTGGTATGCCAAGGAGTGCGTACTGTCAGCATCGATCTTCCATCTTGTGTTCATTGCCATTCAAAGATTGGCTGCTGTGCTATTTCCATTGAGATTCAAGGTTTTTTTCACGCCAAAAATGGCTGCAATCCTACTGGTTGCTGTCTGGATTGTTTCCATCCTGTTCTTAGTATGCGTTATGCTGCCAATAACCAACGCCAAACTCAACCGGCCATACTTTCCTCCCATTGCATATGCCACATTGTTGACTGGGATAGTCCTTCTAATGTGTTACATTGCAATGCTGTACCGACTGCTTCATTTAAAGAGATTCAGGTCTGAATCTTCAAACGCTGATCAACGGTCCATTCTCAGCTTTAGGCTTTTCTTCAACTCGTTTGGAGTCACCTTGGTTTTTATCCTACTTGCATTCCCATTTGCAGTAAGCGTCATAGAGAATAAGAAGCTTCGGCATTGGTCGGAACCTTTCGCGATGTTTTTTGCAATAAAAACAATGGCAGATCCAACGGTATACTTCTTCATTTCGAAATGCAGTTGTGAACGTGTGACGAGGCGTGTAAGACATGGACAGTCAGGATCATCGAGCAAGGTCACCGAGGAGGACATTGTTACACCAAGGCAGGTATTGAATCAAACAACTCATCTGTAATAAGCGCTGACCGTAACGAATCATGATATCGTGTATCGTAATTTCAAGCCGACTAGTTGTAAAAGTAAACTGCAAGAGATAAAGGTTTATCTGCACAGAAAGTATGAAATGAGTTCGGGAGATGTCGAAAATTTCATCAATATATTGTGGAAGGAGTTTTCCCAATCACTACCAATATTGTAGCACCATTGGCACCTCTAGTTCAATAGAAGTTTGGAACTCTGTTGTATTTTCATCGTTTTGATAGCTGCTTTATTGGTTGTTTGGACATTTCTTCTGTCTTGGGTTGTTGCTGGGGCAGCAATTGGGGCAGGAGGCAGTGGCTGACTGTTTGCGGTTGGGGGTGCTGCCTGCTTTCTTTCTTGTCCTTCTGTCGTATATATATGTACCTGTGTTATGTATTTTTTCTTTCTTTTATTCTTTAGACGCTGTTGTTAAGCTTCTTTTTCAAAAGGCACTCAGTATAATAGTAGACGAGGAAATTTTTGCCCAAACTTTGATGTCAATAACAAGTACAAATATCTGATGGCAACTGCGTATGAAAATTGTGACACTCAGAGTAACTTGTATTTAAACGCCAACGAGCTGTAATCTCTATTCTATCAAATGCAAAAATATCTGTTGCATTAATTCTATGAATTGCATTCATTAGATAAAAGTTCATTTTGAATGTAACAACACCTCAAGTCTCAATAGCTATTGAGGAAAACGATGACAAACCAGGTCAATGAAGACAAACTGGTCCAATATATTTATGACCAACGTCCCGAGATCACTAGCCTAGATCACTATGTGTCTATGATCACTATGTGTCTATGGCCAACGTCCTGAGATCACTATGTGTCTATGGCCCCGGGGTAGTCATAGTCTTTTGCTCCTCGGGGTATCGTCCGAGTAGTATTGTAAAGTAAATTTGTAAGTAGCGTAGCTTGTATTTATGTATTGTAACTTTTTAATGGATACATATAAAAAAGATCACTAGCCAACCGTTTAATCTTAGATTCAAGTGTAACGTGAATGTACTTAGGCCGTGCACTTCCCCATGAAAGAAAATTGTGCTACATATTTACCTGTATAGATTCATGTTAGGTGCTCTACTTAGTCTTCTAACGCTTTACCAAACACCAAAATCCCAACACTCCCAATAATCAAAGCGACTACAAAAATAGACAGCTCATAAGAACAGTGTTTGGCAGTCGGAAAGTGATCAAGTTTACATCTTTAGTGGGCTGCGGCGTTGCCTGTAGAAACGACATATAACGTCACAACAATCGGTCATATCTAGGCAGGTTGCAGCTCCTGAAACATCAGTGTCAATATTGAAGGCAAGAGGTCGTAGAGAAACATGGACGAGCCACCTCCATTGATACTCCAAACCGAAGCATTTAATTTATACATAACGTACAGTTATGCTTTGTTCGGACTAGGAGGATTCCTTGTCAACATAGCAATGCTCATCGTGTTGCGACGTGATAAAAGAAGTGAGTCAACTTTTAATAAAACCATGGCCAGCCTTGGTATCGCTAACATGCTAATTGGCTTGATTTTCTCAACTGCTGGGTTTTTAATGGTATCTAAGTATGAAAATGATAGCTTCTTCATGGCTCTTTGGTATGTCAAGGAATGCGTACTGTCAGTATCGATCTTCCATCTTGTGTTCATTGCCATTCAAAGATTGACTGCTGTGCTATTTCCATTGAGATTCAAGGTTCTTTTCACGCCAAAAATGGCTGCAATCCTACTGGTTGCTGTGTGGATTGTTTCCATCCTGTTTTTAGTATGCGTTATGCTGCCAATAACCAACGCCAACCTCGACCTGCCAAGTTTTCCTCCCATTGCATATGCCACATTGTTGACTGGGATAGTCCTTCTAATGTGTTACATTGCAATGCTGTACCGACTGCTTCATTTAAAGAGATTCAGGTTTGAATCTTCAAACGCCGATCAACGGTCCATTCTCAGCTTTAGGCTTTTCTTCAACTCATTTGGAGTCACCTTGGTTTTTATCCTACTCGCATTCCCATTTGCAGTAAGCGTCATAGAGAATAACAAGCTTCGGCACTGGTCGACACTTTTCGCGACGTTTTTTGCAATAAAAACAATGGCAGATCCAACGGTATACTTCTTCATTTCGAAATGCAGTTGTGAACGTGTGACGAGGCGTGTAAGAAATGGACAGTCAGGATCATCGAGCAAGGTCACCGAGGAGGACATTGTTACACCAAGGCAGGTATCGAATCAAACAACTCATCTGTAATAAGCGCTGACCGTAACGAATCATGATATCGTGTATCGTAATTTCAAGCCGACTAGTTGTAAAAGTGAACTGTAAGTTGACAAGACTAAGAAGTTAAGTAAGAGAAAGATACATCTGTACAAAAAGTATGAAAAATGTGTTTTGAAGGTGTCCGAGAATTCTTCAATATATGGTGGAAGGAATCTTTGCCCCACCTTGGTGTCAATAACAAGTACAAATATCTGGTAGCAGCTACGTGAAAAAGTAATGACACTAAGGCAAGGGTAACTTGTAAATTATTGTCAACAAACTGTGATCTCAATTCTATCAATTGCAAAAATTCTATCAAATACATTCACGAGATTCGATTTCATATGACTACATCTCAAGGCTCAATAGCTGTGGAGAAAAACTATGATAAACCAAGTCAAACTGTCAGTTTCCTCTACAGCCATCTTAACATTTCTAAAGCTCATCTTAACATACAATAATTCTACTTTGGAAAAAACTACGTGCCAATTAAAGGCTGCACGATTTTTGTATATTTACGCGCGATTGTTTCAAGAGAATTTCATGAACTATTTTATAATCTAACATTGTTACTCTTTGCAACCTTATTCCTGGTATGCAAATGATATTTTCATGGCTGGGACGCTGGGACAGCATTTAGCATTAATTTGATGACTTCTTCATTTCAACGCGAAGCGCAGAGAACATACCAATACAATTTGCCCGAGAGTTTTTAGAGAACGAAATTAACTTCCTTTGTACAACAGTCAGAAGATAAAAACGCTTTAAAACCAAACTTTTAAAAAAGCCTAAAAATGAAGAAGGTTATTCAACCAAGCTTTGAGATAATCTTTCTTTGTTAGGAATAACTTCAAGATCCTTTGCTCATACCAGGAAAACTGGTGGATTTTTAAATCTGAGTTCTACAACGATAGGTAGAGCAATGAAGCTCCATCTTTCATGCTCTCGATTAAGAGTTTCGGATTTTTTACTGCGTACTTATTCAAGGGTGTGGCTTAATAGAATGAGAATTTCTTAAAACTACAATTTAGTAAAAATGTTCAAGTTTTTCTTTTGTCAACTTTTGCATGTCAAAAATTCTGTTAGAAGCACTTTCCACACTTGTGAAAGTTCTTCATTCAAGATTTTTACACTAAGCAACTCCATGTCAATGTCCTCGTTCTCATCCTTGACAAAGAGCGGGTAAATGAATGGTGCAAATAAAAGTAGTTATTTAATCGAGGATTGACAACCTTTTTCCTTGACGCAAAGCAAAGAATCTATGTTTTGCTAATGTAATGTATAATGAACAGGTGCTAAAATTTTCTGTCAGAAAGGACTCGTAAGGACTCGATCCTTTTTTTGTTGATTGCCCTGCTATAGTAAGTATCTACCATAGGCACAACAGTAGGGTAAACAAGATAAGCAAATCTATTGCCGCAAAGCATAATTTGATTAATATATATCTCAATTTTATTTCAGAAAATTGCTTGATATTTTCTATCTATTAGCAATTTTATTAAAAACGACATGAAAGAATGAGAATGAATAATTGCACGCACTTCAGGAAATTTGCAGGTGTGTTTAAGGAGTCTTATTTAAATATCTATCAAATTTTTGATGAAACTTTTGAATCTTAAGGGCTTTTGAAAACTCTCTTTGAAAGAGGCAGAGAGATTCGTAAGATTAGTGGACAGGAATTTTTTTCCGAAAACAAGTCGCCAGATTTTCCTGCCGACACAAGACGCTTTGTAAAAAACAAAAGTTTTTCTAGCCTGCGTCTCTCCTCGGCTATGGTCTATGACGCAAGCTACTGTTTTTCTATCACTTCCGTGCAGCAAGGCGTGGTTTGAAAGGGAAATCTGGATTTCTTCAATTTTAAGTAGACTGTTATCGATATCTTTATTTCATAACTTCTGCCCTAAATTATTTGCCATTCTAAGAAATTAAATTTCGTCGCTGAGAAAATTATTGCCGCATTTTAAATGATATTATCGCAACATTCTGATCTTGCACAACATGATGCCCTCGTACAACTCATAATTTTTCATCATGAAATGACCGGCATCAAATTAGCCGGTAATAACATAATATTTGCAATTAAAATAAATCATAATACAGAGTGCGATAAGTAAGAAGAGAAAATGATTTTCACAACAAAAAATATGTTTGTGCGAAGAGGTTTAATGCTAGATCCTTTCATAATATTTTACATGAATATTTTTACTGAGCGAACACGCGCTGTAAGTTGTTAACGGCTCTTGAAATTAAACAATTTATTTTGGTAATGCATTAAAAAGCTTTTTTTGCAAATAAAATCGATTCATCTGACATTCATTTATCAGATGCGAAAGCTGCAAGCAAATCCAAAACGGCTTTCCATTTTGAATCCCTCTAGCCCCTGTGTTCTGTACGTGGCTAGAGATTTTCATAGGCCGTTGGGAGGCATTTTGCTCGTTGACTTCATTTAAAAATCGGGCTCTGTTTTGCCAAGCAGATACTTGTATCAAGAACAGGAGTATTTATGGATGCAATATAGCTAGTTATTCTACTATATTTACAAGTGATTATCAGCAAGGAGCTGTTTTGCTTTGGATCATCGTACATTTGTAAGCTAGGCCCACCGTGGTTTGCCTTACCCTAGGCATATGCACAAGTCATTGGATCGTGTAAGTTCCTGACTTCGAATAGAAATACGATGTTACCACAGCCAGCTACTTCACCTAGATCAAAAAACTTATTCATGGACTTGTCAACTTCAAAGCGGTATAAATATGTGAAAAGGATTTTTAAATGGAGACAAATGGATTTTGAATTCGCATTGTGGCAAATGGTTTATCTTTGTTGTGCACCAAGAAGAGTGTGAGTATATATGAAAATCCTGCCCTTGTTAGTGACTAAATTTCAGCAAAGAATGCTGGAAATAGCCTCACTTATTGTCAGGTTACCTAAGGACAATTGCAATATAACTCCTGTTTGTTGTCATGCTTGATTATAAAGTTGCATTTTCAGATCAAAGATATGGATAGAATACTAGAAAAATCGGCATTTTAATCAGCCAATCAGCATTTCAAAATCAATCAGAAAAAATGGTTATAAGATTTGATGATGATCAATTTTTTACCATCATTGCAACAAAATCAAGAGTAGTTTTTGAAAGCAAATAAACAAACCTTGATGTATATTTTCTCTAGATAAGGCTTCAATTAATTTTGCATTTGCTTTTTGCAAAACTTTGTTTAAAATGGTCCTCAGATTTGAAATGTTCATATTAAAATGAGCTTAATTTGAAGATTTAATGTTAATTGCACTGTTCAGTCATGAGCTGCTACATTTTGAAGATCAAATGTTCCGTTATTGGCAAATATGAAGATAAAAAATTGAAATGCTAACTCAAAACTACGAATAGCCAAAACAAATACAGTGCCAGGCTTTACAACACTGTATATGATGAAAAAACACAATTTTATTGAACAGGATGGCAAAAAATTTCATGATCTAGTTTAACCTTTTTGTTAATTAACAAGGGGTGAAGTAAACAAATTGATTTAAGTGGCCTATGACTAACCTTTTTATTTTAAAATTTATTTTGCCAATGACTAATTTTTGTGAGCAGATTTTAAAGCTATTTAAGCAAGATGGATCTCAAAGCTAATTAATGATTCAAGATAAAATCCATATAGAAACTGATAAATGCAAGATTTTGTCATTGTTTTTTGGGCAGGCTGACTTAGTTGTTATGTAAATTTAAAGGAGCTGTGTCACGGTTTTGTAAACCAATCAAATCAAGGGACATTGTGGGTTTTTAGCCTAATTTGCATATTAGGATAATGGGGGATGCAGGCCTTTCCCGGCAACGCAGGCTATAGCCCACACCCATGCAAATCTAGCGCAAAATAAATTTATGAAGGCTTTTTTCTACCCGCACAGTTTTTCAAACTAACATTCTCATTTAATCCACACATTTTGGCTTCCCAATGTTTGTGCTACTTACTGCTCAATATCAGGGTGTTAGCAAATGTAGAGAAAAAGGTCTTACACGTCTATGTGTTTATCAAATGGCGTTATAAATAGGAGAGTTCCGTTTCCTTATTTAGCATGTTAACAAACTATGGTTTTATCTGCTAAAGCTTGCAATGAAATTGGAAGTGTGATCACATGAAAGGAATAACATTTAGCAAGATTAAACGTCACACTATGCTGTCAAGTACGAAACAATTTCTTTTCAAGTCGCAACATATAAACTCACCATTCCCAAAAGAGCCACATTTGACCGACAAAACCAAACAAAATTTTGCTATGTTCAAAAAAGTTATGTTCCTCTTTTGTCTCATTTTAAGGAGTGGTAATACAAAATTTAAAGGTAGTAATTCACAAAAAAACCTTCTTAAGGTGAATAGTATTTAAAGAATTGGCAAGGTAATGTACTTTTGTAAATACTCAAATATAAAAAAATTAACAACAGTTCTGCAAGGGCTAAATAGCCCAAGCAGCCAATATGGCAAGGGCTTTTTGTAGCCGCGCATTGTTTTTTTGCCGGAGAAGGCTGGGGATGCTGCTCCAGTGCTTCAATAGGCTTACCGAATATAGAAATACTGAAGAGTGAAGAATGAAGAAAGAGCCTTACTTGTTTCTTTCCATAAAACATGCAAAAATGCAAAAGCTTCAAATGATGAGCACAGAATGTAAAAAACTATTTAATCTCATATTGTTTCACCCAAACAACTTTCCTACAACTGACCTCTTGCCGAACAAGATGACCCATGTGACACAGCCCTTTTAAGTTTCATCCAAATATGACATCAATTTTCAAATGTCCACTTCTAGGTAGATTGTTGAAATCATTTTTGGCGCTTTTCATTTTTGTCAGTTGCTTCATTGCCAGTTATTAAAAGTATATATTTTAGCCTGGAGGATCTTCTTATATTTATTACTCATTGTCTAGAATAAGAAATACTTGTTTTATGTTTAGGTTGTTTTGTTATATAGATGTTTCCTGATCCTTATTTAAATCCTGCCTTTGTTGTTATCTGATTTTTTTACATAGCATAAATTCATGTCTATCTTTATTGAGAACCTAGTAGTTGATTAAATTTACAGGGGCTTATTAAATTGCTTTATCTTTTAAACATCCTGGAGATCGGTATGCTCTGATTGAATGATGTTTCATTATTTTTTAGGTACAGAAACTTTCATTATCACAAAGGTAAGTACAAAGAATAGTGAGCACATAATTCTTTTGTTTATCCTATTTCTAAAAATATATTGTGAAAATTCGCTAGTTATGACATTTTTATTCTGCTTCTGCAATTGGTTCCAGTAACAGCCATTTGGAAATGACCTTCTTTTCACTTTCAGAAGCCAAGCATCAATGGGCAAGGGATGATCCTGCATTTCTTGTTTTGCTAAGCTTCTGGCTATTAGGTAAATTCTCTTTTGCAACCTACTGTCCAGGATTCTCTAATTTTTATGCTCATGTAGGTACTTTACAATATTTGTGATCCTTGAAATGGTTTTTATCAAAAGAACTATGCATCATTTTTTGAAATATCTATGCATCAGATTTAATTTTTGACAAAGATTTCCAAGATTTCCGTTAAAATAATATTTTTCATCTACTGAGACATAGATGAATTTTGCTTTAACTTTTTTAAAGATTGGACAGGCAAGATTGTTGCTAGTTCCTGTGTTTCCTTTTCAAATTGTTGCTCTTCTTTTCAGTGTCTTCAGTAATCTTTGCTGTTTCATTGCACCTTGGTATGGTTGGCTTCATCAAGTTTCTGCTCTGGGTTGTTTTTGTTGATTGTATTGGAGTTGGGCTGGTCATTGCAGGTTTTCTCTGGTAACTATGCTTTCAAATTCTCTTCCTTTATCCAGTATTCTTTGGCTATATCTACAACTAAATCGTATTTACAGATATTGAAAGCCTTGTTTGCATGGCCAGATGGATGAAATTTAGTTTTCTCAAATTGGAATTTGATATACTATTAAACTTTGTTTGAATGAAAACCGAATTCTCCTTACAAATGCTCTTGAACCCTATCTTGTATTGAATTGCTGTGAAATTTGCTTTTGATTTAGATAAGCCTGAAGCGAAAATTGATTTAAAAGTTCTAATTAAAAAAAATCATATTGTATAATTGCAGCCTGAACTAACTTAGGCTGTATTTTCACTTTCCATTTTTAAGGTAAACAAACTTGTACTAGGTTTTGACATATTTTTGGAATTTTGCCGAGGTGAAATCAACAGAACACCTGTTCTTTGCCATATTAGTTCTTCCATGTTCTTGAAAATAACTTTTACCTCAGAATCATTTTATAAAATAGAAAAGCTTTATTTTTTTTAATGCAATCTGTTATCAACTTGCCTTCATTGCAGGCTTATAACTAACAAGTACCTGCGAATTCCTGGAAGCAGTAACATTGAGCATGTGGTTGAATTTGGGTACTCTTTTGATGTTCATTTGAATGCCTTCCTCCCTCTACTAATTGTTCTACATGTGGTGCAGCTTATTGGCTTGCTTTGTAAGTACAATTTTCTTTCATTTATTCTAAGTTAAAACATAAAACTATAACTGGAAAACAGTCTTGCTAGCTCTGAATTGAAAATAATCTTATTTTTCAACCAAATTGCTGAATACCTCATGGGGTTGTTGTCTTCTTAAGCCAGCACTTATAGTGACATGTTGTTCTTTTTGCTATAACCCTTATGCCTCCAAGCGGTTTCAAGTCACCACTCATCCTAAATATTTACTGCCTATATAAGTAAAATCCTTCCACTTTTAAATGCAGGAAAGTTTATAAGATTTTATTTTTTGGTAAAAGGAGAAGTTCTATGTATAAGAGGAAGGTGTTTTTCCCATGATCATATTTTCAAGATATTTTAGGTACAATGCCTGCCAAAAGTCTTGGAACACTGACATCAATTTCCAAGGTCAAAATCAATCATCCCCCCTCTCCCCTACAGAACAATGTTGGTTTACTATCAAACGGGTTAGGATTTTAGGAAGCACTTTCTTTTGCGCTTCTTTTATGATATTTCTCTAAATCATCAACATTGCTTTAGGGGGAAGGGGGCGGAAGAAGCAATTTTTCTCATGAAAGGGATGAAAGATATCAAATTCAGCGTAAATTGCTGGGTGTTACAAGTACTTTTGGCAGGCATTGTAGTTACTAAAAGAAAACGAAAAACAAAGGTTTGACAGTATTTGGTCATAAATAATCAACATAATCAGTTTCTTTATCTACTTTAAGTAGATCGAAGGGCTGTCACCAATTGGTGAGCGAAAATTTTGGTGTTTCTTAGAAGCACTTTTTTAAGGGTTGGTGTCTTATTAGCGGACGGAATTTTTTTCTTGACCACTCCGTGTGTACCGCTTTTAGTCCATGATTGCAATAGCCAAATTTGAGCTGACAACTAGTTTTTGGTTTCTTTTTTACGCACTGAGAGGTGTTTTCTTCAAGATTTCGCTTTCGCTTCTTTCCAGTTGATCCAAGCATGTTCATTGCCCGTTTCTTTGGAAACACGTCATGGCTGATTGCACTTACATATTACATATACATTACATTCCTTGGTTACAGCGGTAAGTTTTGTGTATGTTTTATTTCTCTATGCCTTATGTCATATATTTATATATTTGTTTCTGCAATTACTGTGCTTAGCCGTAGAGTTGACATTTTCAAAGAGAGTACTAGAGGGTTTGAGCTAAAGATTCTGTTTTTGAAGCTCCTTTGACTCGCTTATAGGATTGTTTATTTGTTTATCCGCATAGTCATTAGAGTGGCTTCAAGAATTGTTCAAAATTTTTTATAAAAATGATTCCTTTTACGATAGAGTGTAGTTTTGAACACCTTGTAACTCTTTCTGTCAAGGTTTCCTCGTAATTTTGGAAAGCACGATTATCTATTTAATTTATTAATCTTTCATATATACATCTATTTATGCATGTTTGTGCTTTGTGGGTTTTGCGTTATTGTTCTAAAGATATCAGAATGGAAAAAATTATTACTAAACGACCACTGGCCACAAGGTACAGTTGATAGAAACAAAACATTGATTATCCTATACAATAAAAGTACACTTTAATACGAGTACACTATGAAATAAAAAGGGAAGGTTTCAACAAATTTCAGACAGTAAAACATCAATAAATTTCTTGGGCTGACACACTTAAAGTTGGAAGTAATGATAACGATCTTTGTAACGTGATGTGGTAGATTTAAAATAGATATGATTTTTTATCTAAACTTTTTCGATTTTAGCGCTACCTTTTCTGCGGAATACGGCTGTTATTCTATATCCGTTCGTCGCTTTGGTCTTTGTCTACATATTGTCTCTTTCATTATCATGGAATATTACGCAAGGGATCGTTGATTTCTACAAATATCGCGTGCTATGATGCTGGAATGAAGTGTAATGATACACGTCGCAGCAGGAGATGTTAGCCTCGATTCCCTCAAAGAAAGTCGAGGCAAATAAAACTTTGGTATACTGTTGCAAAGCTTTGATCTTTTGTTGGCCTAAGCCTTTAGAACTGGCGTGAATCTGAAGTTAACAGCGGCTATCCAGACATGTTATCGATATCAGTCATGTCTTATTCAATATCCACATTTTCTGTATTGGAAGAAACATTCCTGTTGGGTTGCACGTAGCCACCATCAAATGTTCGCCAAAAAAGGGCCAGATTTTACAACAGATGTTTTTCAGTCAATTGGAAACACAATTTTGACAATATATACCCTTTATTCATCCAAAAAATCTCAAGAAATTGACTAGTAAATAAGAATTTTCTGTAGAGGTTGAGAGTACCAGAAAACATAGATATCACTTCACAGGACTCGATCGTTACAAGCAGTATGTGATTCAATCGAGGTGAAGGGAACCTAGGTGACCGGCAAAGCCTGTAAGCTGTGTGCATATGTTAGATAAGTGTGTTATCAATTTAGAATTGCAGATGTTTTGTGATAGGACTAAGTTGCAATTTTGGACTGAGATACTGAGCTGCGATTAAGCCGTGGTCTTGTTCATCCAGGATAATCAAGTAATCCTGTTTACTATTGGCGTATCTCTTGCCTGCTTTCTTCTTTTTTTCATAATATTGTACCGTTGTTTTGGCAAAAGGATGTGGCTTGTCAGACAAGGTATATAAATATAGAGAGAAAGCGATTATTCCTTCCCTGCCAAAATAATATGTTCTTCTTGCAAAACAGAGCGTTGTGGAACGATCCAAGCACTTGATTTTTGACCTATTCAATAGAAGGAGTAACCAACATCCAGAAAAGATGCTGTGGTCCATGGTTTAGGACAGTGCATAGCACGATCGATGACAACACGACTTTGTCTCCTGCCTAAGTTTTTTATCGTTCTTTTTCTGTGAAGAAGAGAAGCGTTTATCGTCGTTTGTCATGTTCTTATAAGAGAAAGTTGATCATAGATGGATGAAAACCATGTGTTCTCATACCAAAATATTAATAATTTTTATAATCTAGCCATAAGGATCTGTCTTCTCGTGCTTGACTGCTACCAACAAACAAGACTCTGAATCTGACTAGACAAAACAGAGGAATGAATGCAGCGTTTCATCTGGTTATTGAAAGTGTTTATTGTAATATACGTAACTCAAGATTCTCATAGAGTTAAAAAGAGGACATTGCAGATCTTGCATTTGACTCTTCCGACGCGAAGAATCGTGTTTGTTAATGTTTCATTAATGATGTTCATAAAACGATATAATATTTAGCAGCTGCGATCTTTGCATCAAACCTCTTAAGCAAAAGACCGCTTCTATTCGGCATTCCCAATGCATTTGCCTTGCCTTGGCCAGTTTGCTAAGATGCCGCCGAACAGTATTTTCTTATATTTGAATAAGCGTTGACTCGTATTTAATAGACACCTTCGTTTAATGTAAAAGTGTAATCAAAATGCTGAATATATTGAATTGTGAAAATGGCTAGTTTTTCGTTGTCCGTTATTTCTTGAAAAATTCTAATACTGATAATAACAACTTTCTTCTGTTGAACTTTATTATTCAGCGCCAGCCAGATATTTGGTATCTCACGGAACATTAGATTTCCTAACTTGCTGATATTGTTTCAACTAATTCAAGCTAATACTTTTGATATCCTAAATAAATTACACTGATGTACAAAACGATATATACTGGAAAGAAGAATGACCATGTCTAAACAAGGTATGTTATTTACCCTGTAGCAAATCTGACTCGAATTATCAACTCGATAAATCCAATATTTCAACTCAAGTTTCTTGGTCATGTATTTCCTCCCGATGTTCTTCTCTTAAATGCGTCTGTATGCTTTTTATCACATCGGGGAAAATTGCCAGGTATTTGTTTCCCTCCTTGTTGATTAGAGACACGACTTCATTCACTACCTGTTGAATAACAAACCAACATCAGTTTGCCTGCATCCTTCATGTTTGCATGTATATATCATATAACTGTGTGACATGCAAGCTTCCTGTCATATCAAATTTGGTTTTAGTAATGCTGGATAAGATGAAGGTTTGTGTTTATCAAAAAGGAGTCGGAATATTATAATCTAGCATGTAACAGAGTATTGGGACCATCTACACTATAATTTTGGTGGATATTCTGACGTTTTATGCTTCTGGCAGTGGCAGACGAAATGCTTCAGTCAAAATGTTTGCTTTTTTCAAAGCCAATTCTGCAACTGATGATAAACCAAGCTTTTCTTTTCCTATCATTTGGCGGGGCATGTTGTTTAGCGTGGATGTATTCAAAGGGCAATGTTTTCTTGAGAAGATTCTCCCGTTTAACCCTGGCTTCAGTATCGTTTAAAGTGAGCAGATCATCTGCCAAAAATGGGTCAGAAATTGCTTTTTCAAAGCAACCATAAATTTTTTCAGTGGTTATGTCGTGAATATCCTTTTTTATAATTTTGACCACATTACCTGCAGGAGCATTATACTATATTTCTCAATTTAAAAATCGATTATATGCGTTACAAATTGGCTGACTTTAGCCTGACTATTAGTTGGAGATGTAAGGGAAAGGCCAGGGAGCCTATAGCGAATCCCTACTAAGGGAGGGGTTTGGAAGAGAGGGAGCTTGTTCATTTTAGCTTTTGTTTTAGAGTCTTGGTGAGGGTTGAGCGTTCCACAATTTACGGATGTTTAAAAAGAAGAATGCGAAGGGTTTAGAAGTTGCCACATTAGTAGCTGCAGTTGCAACTTTAACCATTAAGCAAATTAATCTAACTCAGTCTTTGCTTTAAAATCTCTGAACAAGGCCCAAACAACAGTAATCCTACAGCAATCTCTTTCACTTGCGATATCTCAGTCAGTTTGAAACATGTCAAAATCATTGTTGTATTTTTAAGAAGTATTTTAGTATCAATTGGTATTTTTACGGTGATGTGGTCAAAAGTAAAAGGTTTGAAATTAGAGGTTTTTTGACCTCTCACTTTAGAACTTTATAACAAAGCAGGGCGGTCAAGTAATAATAATAATAATCATCGTTATTGCATCTAGCCTGGACTTTGGGTTTGGTGGCTAGAGCGCTAGAGCTCAGGTTAAATTGCGTCACGTACCAAGCGTTCAAACGTGCCTCGGACGTCCTTTGTTATTGAATCAGCAAAAATATTATACAACCAGCTAGAAGAGAAAACACAATCTGTGATGCAAAGTATACTGATTTATAAATCATTTTGTAAATCTAGTTGATGTTTTCCTAAATCAACTTACGAAAATCGTGTACAATTTCTAAAGCGATATGCAGGCTTTATAGGTTTTTTTAGGTATATTCCCTGGATTTTTTTCCGAGTCAGTTCTCTCGAAAAGATAATGCAGAGATTTTGTGCATACACTAGGGGACGACACTATACATGCAAGAAACAAAAATGGCATATAGGTAATAAGGAAGTGACCTATTTTCACTTTGTCCACTTTTCATAAAGAATTTTCGAATGCAGGAATGGCAAGAGCTTTAGGTCTTACTTGGATGCATGCATGTAAGATAAGTGCATTAAAAAAAGCTAGAAAAGCAGAAATTTTGAAAGAATTTCGTTACCTTGCGCCACCGAAGAATTTTATCTTCATGTTTCCTATTTTCAAGACTGCATCGTTTGTGCGAACCTTTGGCTTAGACTCGTCCTTTGTATCTGCAAAAGCAGTTTCCAGTTACATTTTGAAGAATCTCAGCTATAATTCTCTTTAGTAAATACGGGCAAAAAGGAACCAAGGCGTTTCAGAACCCACATGCTTTCTTTTTCTGCACAATGTGATGAGAAACCTTCAAAAGGCTTTTATTCAAAATGGTTATTTTCCCCTAAATTGTCTATTTCAACAAGATTTCCCTATTGTCATGTCTTTACAGCCACAGGCAGCATAAAACACATTTTCAATAAGAACTTATGACCCTGCAACCTAAAGACAGTTCCAAGAACAGTCTTATTCTCTCCTAAAAAAGTAGGCTTTTGAACGTGCTAATAGATTTTAGGATTTGGATTACATTCTTATACTAGTACTGAATGAAACATTGGTGCTACTTTTTTATGATATCAAATGATATAACTGTAGTTATGAAGTTTGTTATTTTAATTTTGCAATCGGGACGAAAAGTGCACTTTCTTCATACAGAAAGAAGTTATCAAAGTATAGTTGTTTTTAGTGGTGGTACTTTCTTTATTGGCAAATGTTGATATATGTTTATAATAGGAGGCATTTCGCCCTGATATCAGTAAGCGTAACGTACCAACATTCAGCGTGATGCCTAGAAGGATATTCTTCATTTCCAAATTGCACGAACCACTGTCACTAATATAGGGCCTAGAAGCACAGAATTACACATTTTTGAGTTACTGTTCAAAATTTCTTCGCCATAGAGCTGTAGAAAACTTTAAAGCAAAGTCGTTGTCACCATCATCAAAATCACGACCACTCTAATCATCATCATAATCATAACTGTCTTTATAAAAATCATCAGCATCGTCTTCACTCATCAAGTTTATAATCATCTTCATTATCGATCAATATCAATGGTCTTAAGTCAACCATCATATGTTATCATCATACATAATCATATCATTATCACAAAGAAGAATGACAAAAACCAAATTTCATACCATCCAAACTGTTTGTATTTCCAGTTCGCATGGATGGACAGCGTAGCATTTATTGCACTAATGGTCAGTCCCCTTGATCGACTTACAGTCAGATTTGATTTTGGAATTGCTACATTATACAATGAAACGCTAAAAAAGAAGATGTAAGATTAAATTCAAAAAAACTGTTGGAACTTTAGTGCTATGTGTAATGTTACGACTAAAAATGAAATTTCATTTGGCCTTGTTTCACTCTCTATGTTTAACCCGCTATTACTTTGGTAAGATTTCTTATTACTTTATCTCAGGGATGTGTTGACATGAATTATGCTCTTGGTATTTACAAGGGGGCTCAGCCCAATGCTCTTAATCCTTGGTATATACTGCTGTATACGTTTTCATGTTATATATTGTTAATGATAGCCACTTTCAAATTAGCCCTATTTGGATTTATTTTTCAAATATTCCATGTTATGATATCTTTCGACCTTATGGCTTTTTGTTATTCTATGATTAAGCCACCTTCATTATAAAGGAGCGTTGTAGCCTTCAAATGTTTACTCTTAAATATTTTAGATAAAAACGATGCTTAATCATTTCAACATTGTCAAAGTTTTTGCTAAATGTCTCAGCTTTGATGTTTCAAAGAACGATTGCTTTTATAACTAAGATTTTCAGAATACTCACTTAGATATCGTGTAACCAAATTTTCCTATTGGTGACTCTGAGTCTCCAGAAACATCTGGCACGTTCAAGCTGAGAAGTGCTTTGCAAAGATATGGTATCCCTACGCCTCTAACTGTAAGCAGTTGACAATTAGTCAGAAATTGGTATAAATTTATAAACTCCAAAATAACAAAAGACTGGTAAAAATACAATTACTGAGTCGTTTGTATTTCGTAGTATGTGATTTGCTATAATTATTGGATCGAAACTGAAAGGTATATGAAAAGAATAAAAGGAAGATGGTATATAGATTCTAGAACAAGTAACTTTTAATCGTTTAGAGCAATATGGCGTTTTGCCGCCAATATGTCTAACGATTGGTATTGCCAGGAAAGCGCTTGACCTTGATAACGAAATAGAAGTGAACGAACATCTCGAGAAAACTAGAAAATTCTTGATCATTATGTCGAATGAATGGCAAAGAGCAATCACAACAATTAATAAGATGCTATAGCTACAAACCATAATCTAGGCCTTGTTGCATACTGAATGTGTCTCTTCTTTGTACAAGCAAAGGCAATGCTGTAACCAGATTTTGCAATTGTAACAATATTCCTATCCATGCGATAACATTCTTGTATATAAAAGAAAGTTTTGCCATGATTAGCACTGATGTGTCCTTAGCTCCTTATCCAATCGCTCCACCTTAACAGTATGTGATTTCACTCTCAAAATGTGTTGACAAATCTTGTCATTTTCCAGAAACTTTTTTCTCCAGCCCAATTTCTCCCATTCACATTGTCACTGCCTCAATTACGTGGTTTATTGTTTGCTTGGAACAGATACCAGGCTACGATCCACATGTGCAAGACAACTCTAGCGATAAACTACTTTTCAAAGTTCTTTTTTCTAATTTGGTTGTTAATTAAGTTTTATGCCTAGTTAAAATGAAGTTTCCTTTCTACAATCATTATAAAGAGCAAGTTATTCTAGTCGCATACTAACTACATATTCATTCGTGAAAGCTGGTGTTCGCGCTGGTCATAAACTTTGCGGGTATTTCAATATGAGTTGGTGCTGTGTTCAATGAACAGCTAACATCAGGACGAGGCTCTGAACTTTCTTGCCGTTAAATATGAGATGAGGAAACTTTGTTGCGAATTCTATTCATTCTAGCCGGCTCACATTATAAACAAGTCTGTGTCTTCACACATCGTTGTGTTCCGGAAATTGTCGTACTCTTCCCGAGATAAGTTAACTTCATATTTTAGACCCAGTATATATGAGAGTGGGTCCGATCCGGATCGGATCCAAAAAAATGTCTACACAGGATCTGCGTTTACACGGGATCTGGTGGATCCATATACTTCTGGATCCCCTCTCCGAACACTTTTGGGATCGCCTTTAAAGGTGATCCCGTATGGATCCGACCCGGACCGGGTCCCGTGTAAACGGTTGGATCTGGTCTAGATCGGATCCGTTTTCGGTTTTTTTAAAGTGAGATAGAATAATGGCCAATTCGAAGTAATTTGACCATGTATTCTGTGAGTTTGGCGTCAAGAAACCAAACAGGAAGTTGACTTACTACTGTACTGAAACATTCGTACGATAAGATGAATCCAGAGTCTTAAACTAATGTTTATTGGATGCTCTTTATTTTAATTTTCGCTGTGAGTCTGTCTTTTGTAAGCAGCTCTTTTTGGTTGAACTGTGAGTTGCTTTACTTCCCCCATATTCAGTTTGTTTCATTTTGTTTGTTTGTTTATTTCAGTTTGTTACTGTTTGTTTCAATCTCAGTTTCCATAATAAACGTTTGATGCACGCCATTTTTGAAAAGCGCATGTGCGTTTTCTGTAGATCTCATCTGGCTCCGAACCCGTGTAAACGGTTCCGATCAAGTATCTGGATACTTTTGGATCGATCTGGTCTGGGTCTCGTGTGCTACTCTTGGCTTTTTTTCTTGTAATAATAACTGCATTCTTTATGGGAGCAATACATTCCCTTGTTTTTGTTAACTGTTAGCTGTTCTGATTTGAAAGGTGTCACTGTTCTCAATGCTTCAAATCGAAAAGAATTCACATCTTACAAACTTTTTTGGTTAAAAACTGGTTATTTTTTCAAAAGAATCGAAAAAATTCAAACTTATGAAAAAGTGTGAAGTTCTTCTCAAAGCTTTAAAAATGTATAATTCTTTTATCAATATCGTAGGCTGAATCAAACCACGAATATATTTTCATTTTTACGTTACAAGTCGTAATGCTAACGATGTTGTGTTGGTTGTAAACCATTAGTAAATGAATTTCGAGAGAATAACGTTGAATTGTTGATGTTCTCGAGATTTAAGACAAATCTAGATACATATTTGTTTAAGATAAGGAAATTTTAAAAGATCTTTTAAATACACCCTATTTGTAAGAATATTGAGGCTCAGAATCATCCAAGCTTTATGAATATTATAGAAAATTGCTCAGCCTCACCTTGCATATTTCTGTCTCATTTTCCAGCAGTTGCCTATTTCGCGATGTTCGTAACGCAGCTTTCAATTACCGGATAACATGTTTTTAAAAAAGTGTAGTTTCTATTTGAGGCTGGGTGAAAAGAATGTTAAGAATATGTTCATAGTTAAGCCAGAAAATGTCTTAAGAATATCGAGGTAGGACAAAATTTATTGTATTCTTTTACTAAAGAGTGTACTTTTTGTAACGATCGACGAATAAAGATGTACCTGTTGTTAAGTCTGTTCATGGAAGGAGAATACTGATAATGCTTTATGTAAGTGCATGCTTTTGGTGCAAGTACAAGCTATTCCTCGAGGTGATTGGAGCAAAGGTACTAGAGCTTACTTTCGCTGTTGCTAGTACTGCCTCGAAATGTTCCCATAGTTTTTCCGGGCTGGTGACACCACTGACCCCACTGACCACTGTTCTTAAAGGTTTTCAGAAAAGCTTTACACGAGCTAATAACTGTTATAAGAAGTTGGTTAAGTTTTAGAAGATAAGAAGTTTTATGATATGCACCCCAACACAAAAAAGCCTCTTGGACACCCTACAGTATAGGAATCTGATATTTGCAAATATTATCCATTAATTAGTTCCAAAAACTTTTGTTAGCCATATTCACAATGATATTGTTTTTGTTATCATCATTATCATAATTATTTGTCATTATCTAGTGCCAATGCATTGCCGAATCGTTACTTTATGGGTCACAACCGTATGGGTCTATGAGACACAAACCTTCAAGCAGAAACCACCACAGTTGTACGAGTCGTGTTGATTTCGATGGTTTTGGGTTACTATGAACCATTCCCTTGGCATGCTGCTTTTCCAGCTCATCGCTCTTTGATAGCTGAATTTTCTTTGAAAGAAATTTGTTATCAAGAAATGCAATCAAGTAATAGAAATAAATAGCAACGTCTGTTTCTTGTTTCACTTTTATACTAACCTCTAATTTCTATTGATTTTGTCGAGGTGCAACGAAATGGGGGGGGAGGGGGCGGAGATGCCATGACCCCCCATTTCTTTGATAAAAAAAATCTCCAAAGAGGCCCTGTTTTGAAGCACTAAATTCAAGTCCGTCTTATAGAACTTGGCTCCTCCACCCTGAAATTCGTGGCGTGGCGTGTGTCAGTCATTATCACTGAGTTGATGTTCAGTACATTCAACTGTTAAAGATCAGAAAATCTGTTTTATAACAGTGTCACCTATACAATAGGTGTTTAAACTGGCAAAGTATCGATAATGTAAAATAAAAATAGTGAATATTTAACTCTCAGAACTTTCTAGCTAAAATTCAAGCCAGAAGGGTACAAAAAAAGTTTAGGTACAAGTTTTAAAATTATCTATTGCTAAATACCTTTAAAAAGGAAGGAAGGCAATAACCACACACTAAAAACCAACTGTTAGCACGATAAATCTGTGTTTTATAAATCATCTTCACTTTAGTTTCTCACTATTAATGGAACTGATGATCAAATACATCATACTCTATGTCAGCCAAGACCTGAAGAAGAACAGTAAATGACCATCAAAGCGGAAAAAAGTTTCGATCCCAGAGAAAAAAATTACATCCCCCTCTTATGTTTTTAGTCCATTTTTGGAAAATTAGAAGATTTATCTTAAAAAAAGTGGCATGGACATGTCCTCCCCAGTCCATCTTGTGGCGCCGCCTCTGGTCACAACGCTACTTTGCAATGAACCTCGCAGCCGTCTTTATAATTAGAAAGCTGTAGTCTTTTAAATAAACTCCTGCTTATTTGGCTTCTGTTAATCCGACAGGTCCATTTACCCAGATACCGAGGAGCACAGTGAATAAGTAGAGAAAAGAGTTGCTCTTTAAAACTGAAGTAAGATATGTTATTGCAATTAGATAAATTTCCTTGTGTAAAATGGATGTTAAAATTGAGAGAGATACTCGGAAGACTGAAACTTTGAATAATGACAATTTTTGCGAGCAGCTATACTTTTCTTTTCATGTCCATCTTATAACGATTCCAAGGCTAAACTTTAATCTTCACAGCTAACATGAATGACGACGGTTCTCCGCGAACTCTTATACTTAAAACAATCTAACGAAGTGTAAAACGAGGCACAGCGCAGTCTTTCTCAAGCACTGCCTGTCCTAAATGCAAACCGGGCCGCAAAAGCTTTCGCAAGCCTCTTGGACGAAACAGTTAGCTACCTCCTGGTGTTTAGCGTTACATGTCTAATACCTTCTGAAGCTCTCTTCGAATCTCTCCGAATCTCACTTACTACGTATATTTATATGCAGTGGCGGGGTGGCTATGTTTTTCCTGGGGTGGCCAAGTCGCGCCCTATCTATACATCGTGCTTATATAAAAGCACGTGTTTCTGGAAGAGAAATCAATTTTTGAAACTTGAATTAAAAATTTCATGAATAAGTTTTGATTGAAAATGCGTGCATCGAATGACTAAAAGGACTCATAGAATCCACGAAACACAGTGGTGAGGTGCCGAAACAACGACTCGATACTTTTGTCCAGGATCTAACTTCATGCAAGGGGGATTTCCTAACAATCTACGTAATAAACGAAATAGCTACGTACACTTAGGCTGGAATTTCTTTAGCTGTATTACACTTGAAATTAGATAAGGTATTGTATTTCTGATACAAACTCAATCCGTTTTAAAATAATAATTGTAATAAATAACCTACATTCTGGTGGACAGTGATATGTAAAGTGTTCCTCGTTTTCTAAAATGAGATAATCGCGGAACAACCTAGTATTTACCTATTTCGAGTTTATTCCCACGTGGAGACGTTTGTAAACCAAATTAGAATTGCTTACTGCGTATCTGTGAGTGTTGGACACCTGTTATGCCAACTTTTTGAAGCTTGATTACTTAACGTGTTTTAAGTTAAAATTTTAGGTTGTGCAGAAGGCTGCTCAATATTTCTGGCCAAAGACAGGTGAAAATCTTTTCTTTTACAGATGTACCACCATCACCTGCCGTTTTAGGTACTGCTGGGCTAGAGGCCGAAAAGATGTGAGGCTAGGAGATGAAACCATGGTAGGTCAACTTTTGACAAAATCTTTGCCATTGTAGGCCAATTTTTGACAAAATTTTTGACATCGTAGGTCAATTTTCGATGGCGTCACACGGGGACCGCACATTGCAGCTCGCTCTTTGCCACTATTCAATTCGGCCAAGGTAAACAAATTTGTCTCAGTCAGCAGTATAAAGGACCGCTGAGTATGTTAAAAACTGAGGGGGCTAAAACGTTTTAGGGGGGGCTAAACATGCTAAAAACCAAAAGCAGGTCGAATTTTCGTAAGATCATAAGTATGTTTTGGAAATTTTCGGAGGGAGGGGGCTAAAACCCCCGTAGTCCCCCAGCTTTTGCGATCCCTGTGCAGCATGACCCAAGCTACAAATAAGGTGCCTCCGGACGCTCCTATATATCTTGTCCGGTTATTTCACTGATAAGTAGGTGATAGATGATTTCCAGTGGCGACATCAGGGAGAGGCCCAGATTGTGCCTCGAGTTGATTTCGACTCAGATGGAATGAAATGGCGGCAAAAGATGGAGTGGTCGGTTCCGGTCCTGAAGACGATGATGGTGTGGGAATGCCGTAGCTCAATGGGACGATTTATTGTTTATGGTAAGATTTTGTGTAAATTCTACGTTAAACCTTATCTTCCTTTCGCGAATTCACTACAAGGATCTAACAGTTTGATACTTGGGTAGGGCATGACATATACAGAGTATGTTCGAACGTTCAGCAAAAATGCACACATGAATATTTTGCTTTGGAGTTTCTAGTTGGCCACTTAACCAATTAACAGTTAGCAAAATTGATTGACGCCGTGTCTGAACCAAAACGCCTCAAGGGATGTTGTTGAGAATTACCAAATTTACCCAGTCTACACAGCATGACAGTTCTTGACAAGATCTCATGTGTGCACGCAAGGGCAATATATGCGCGCTGGCAATGTGTGCAAACTATTCAGTTTGAAGCAAGCTACCTATGTGCACAGCATTTATTTCTTGTGCACGAAATTTTCTTTTCGAATTATGAATTAGCATGGGGTCATTCACATCTTTTGTTTAAATGCCTGGATTTGATTTTTTTGACCCCCTGATCTTATAGTTAGACCTACTTTTTTGATAACTTGCTGGAGCAAAACTGTCAGTATTTCTAAGTAGGTTGCAACAAGGGTACACACGTGAGGGTACAGCTCGCTTAAAATTTTTACTCAGTCAGTCATATTTAAAACTGTTTGGTCAACTGAAGGAGCTTTATGGAGTAAATTTTTGTTAATTGCAAAGCATTTTGTACAAGCAGAATCAATAGAGTTTATTATTTGAGATTTGAGGGTGGAAGACTTGCACACATTTTCTAACAAAGTTTAAATATCCAAGCCAGACTGGAAACTTTGTTTCTTAGGCAGACAAATTTGCTTTGGAATTTGAGACTGCTCATCTGAAATCATATTTTTATGCTATTTTTAGAGTTAATAATGGTTAATGGAATTTACGTTGTCTGTATGCAAAAGTGCGCAGATGTGTGCACAGGCAATATATTGTCGGGCGCACAAAAAAGTTTCCAATCTGATATCCAAGAAAGCAGTCGCAAATGTTTTTGCTGGCATCTCATAAAAATCTTGTTTGACATAAGCGTAACAAAAATGTCAGAAGGAGAGCCAAAATACTGCCAATGATGCTTGAGTATTTGTCAAATTCTGTAGATTCCCGAAAAGTCTTGTTTATTTATTCAAATTGATGTTTAGTTAGCAATGGGCAACCCAATCTCTCTTGACCAGCCTTGCTTAGGACAGTGACTTGACATTACAAGCTGTACTATTAAGATTCATGATAAAGTCATGACCCTTTCAATATTGCCTTTAATTTTTTAGCCCTTTACAATATTTTTCACCACCTTTTAGCTTTTAGAAAATCTCTATGGATAAAACTGCCTTTTTGTTTAGCCATCAGTTGATTTTCTTTGAGCTCAACATTTTGGCTACCAGGTGAAAGTGTTCAACTGAGGTCATTAAGGTTATCTTGTCATTTGTGATAATTTGTGATCGCCTTCTTGATACTGCCACATTAGATTGCATTAGGTTTTGTATATTTTTTCCAGAATGGAAATATTTGTTAATTCTTTACCAACATTTGCTTCTGATGAGTCTTATATATCCTGGTTTAGATTTTAGTTTAGATAGTATTAGTAGATAACCATACAAAGGAAATTTGTGATAGCACTGTGGTTAGCTTTTTTGTTGACCCTTAAATTGTATAAAACTTGGAGTGGAACTGGATCAAATGTTCAACCAGTTAATGGTGACAGCAAAGGCTCAGTTTTGATTAGTTGTTGAATAGAACGCAAAGTGTAATTTTTTCAACTTCAAACAAGATAAACTATGCTCTGCAACATATGGACTCACATGAAGAAACAGGGGATCACCTTGCAAACAATGTGAAGTTACGAAGTTCATTTGTGCTTCAGTGAATAAATGCCTTCTATCCCTTCATCATTAGGCTCAATCTTTGAGACTTGGGAAGCTATTCTAGGTTGATTTTGCAGCTTAAATTTTTTAGGTCATTCAAAAAAGTTATTACTTGGTTTGATGTTTTGATAAGCAATTTGGAGCCCTGTTAACAAAGTGAAATTAAATCCACATTTGCAGCATTAGAATTTCAAGGAAATACTTTAGAAACATTTGATAGCAGCAGTGTCCCACAATTTGAGGATCTATCTAGCTATAAAAGTACCTGATTAATATGTGTAAAGGGCTGAAAAATGACTTAAGGAAATATCCATAAACATCCCCTTTGAACATGTTTGAACAGCCTGTTCTAGAAAACTTTCCTTCATTGGTAGCAAAAGTCAGACAATTTCTTCTGAGGAGTCCATTTTTTGAGTTTCCAAATGTCTAAGTTTTCTTTTAGAAATAGAAGAAATTCTTTAAGTCAGAGAAAGAATAAGTTGGAAAATTTCAAAAGACCCTTTTTTCCAGTTTGAGCATAGGGCTTATCCAAAAACTCGGGCTTGGAAAACGGGGACAATCCAAAAAGTTAAAAAACTCTGAGAAGTCCAAGATATCTGACAAATGCTTAATTTATATTATTGACCTGACAATTTTTTTGCAGCAAAATCAAGATAGAAAGCTCTCATTCACTTTATTGGCAATTCAATTAGTAATAAACGCCTCTTTTAAATTTTCATTAGCAACAGTGAAAATGTTTGCCTGATTTTGAAGAAAGTTTCGTCAACCATTATTCTTGACAATTCTGGGATAGCTGCTGCATTTTAATAATAATATTTTGTTACTAGACATTGAGCAGTGCTAATATTCAGAAATGTAAAGAACATTGAAAGGAATAAAGTATGCAGATGAATCATTATCGTAAACTATCTGTACTGAAAAAGACAATGCTGAAATTGGAAACTGATGATAAATTGCTATCCATTTGTAGGTTGCTGAGAAGATCAAATTGTCATGATGATGATTATTATTACAGCAGACAGTGTGTATGGAGCCGCTGTGAATTTGAACAGGCAATAAATATAATGGTGAGTTTGCTTGTTTTACATTGTGGTATTATGGAATATATTTACAACACAAAATGCGGTTTTATGATAATAACACATCCAATTTTGTTTGTAGTTTTGCATCATAGATTAATGATAGGCCCACTGTCTCAAAAGGTTTAAAGTTCTACCTCTTTGCTGATGATAAAAGTATGAACTATGATTCTTAAAAACTTAAAGAGCTTCACCGTAATTTTGTTTGGATTTTTTGACCAGACCAAAATAACAGTGGTCAGTTTTGACACTCCGTTTTACTGGTTGTTTCTTCCCCTTTTCCTAACTTCGTAGACGCTCAAAAATGTTAGACTGATCATTTTATGTTTGGTCTTTCTGCATGATCTATAGGAGTTACAGAATCATAGGAGATATATGTTGAAACTCTGTCTTCTGGGGTAATTCGACAGCTGAGGAATAGTCAAGAGCTGTGAGACATCTTAGAGTTTTTAATTGTTCGTAGCCAAATGTTACAGTGGGCACTTTTCGACGTAAAAGACATTCGTTCGTTTTTAAGTACATTTGGTATGTCTGAAAAGGAAACTAGCATGTCTATTAACATGATGAAATATTACCGTTTGCCCTCTGACAATGCCCTTCTTCCCGCCTTTTCGCTAGTACAAGCAAATCTTCCGAATATTAATGCTTTTCATAATGCAGCCTGCACCCCCGCAATGCATTGCTGGCAAACACCAATTTGTATTAGGAAATTTTAGTCAGGCGCGGATCTAGACCGGTTGCACAGGTTTCAAAAAATCGGTCAAATTTTAAGAGCACTACAGTTCCTTTGTTTACATACTGAATTGAACCCCCACAAGATTCCGACAGAGTTCCCAGCTTCCTAATCCATATTTTATCCCAAAGTATCAGAGGAATTCAAAATGGAGGAAATAAGTCGCCACTCGAAGCTACAGCTTGGGAGTATGCTATCTATGCGCCATGAAAATTAGAATCAAAGTTGCAAGAAGAGGGTCAAAGGCCATGCGACATTTTAGATAAAGTGTAGGCAAATTAATCACATTTTACTAACCTAATTAGCAACATTAAGCAATATTTATGGACCAATAACACACAGGGCTGTAACGGCGTAAAGCTGCCCGAAACCAGTCAATATTTTGGCTAGATTTGCGCCTGATAGTGGTATAATTGTTTCAGTAGTAAATATTGTCTCTTCTAGTTGGGTTCGCCATGAGCCGCGAAAATTAAATTAAGCGCTGATTGTTTAACAATATTTTTTATATGTCTGTGTACCTGCTAATGAAAGTGACGTGTTACACAACGTAAGCAGCTAGGAAAAAAACTATTTTTTAGAAACTGAAGTTACCAAATCATTGTAAAACATCTCGTATACAATCTAGTTTGTTACGATTAAAATCAATTTGGTCATTCTTATTCTAATCATACCTCTGCAAACAGGAACATGAATAAAACTTAAGAAAAAAGTAAACTCATATCTTTAAAATGCAAGATCTCTCTACAGTATTTGAAACAAGATCTTCTCTACAAATTTCGATTGGGCTGCTTTTGAATGATTGCAGAACTCGATTACAGATTACCAATTTGATTAGTTAGCTGCATATGTCGTATGAGAATATATCATGAATTATTATAAATATGATCATAAATCATTTTAAGTGCAATACACAGGACTCAGAGATGCTGTCTTAAAAAGGTACGGATTGCGCTGCCGAAAAACTTTGGACCAGACTTAATACCACGCTCATCGTCACTTGCATTTGCCCAGTATACTTGCATTTGTTTTAGAGATTCTCTGTGGTGTATATTAAACCATGGGAGCAATTCATTCAACCAATACCAAGACTTACTTCAGGCCAATAAGCGTTCTGTCCACGGTCTTTCAGCTATTTGAAAGAATAATGGACAAACAGATAGTTGCTTTTATGACACCTTTTTTATTGCCACGTCTCTCTTGTTTTCAACAAGCATCAACTGCTCAATTTTGACCACATTGACTGCTGGTGGCGCCGCCGGATATTTTCCAGATCTGTTTTTAACGTTGAAATATGAACTAACATTTCATGAAAAATACTTCTAAAGGTGTTTGGAACCTGTTTTCAAGCATTTCAAGTTCTTTCAAGTGACATAAAAAATGGCGTAAAATTTTCAGGTTTTTGAAATTCTTTGAGAGTCAGGTATTTTTTGTAAATTGACTGAGTTTTTTTTAGTAAATATGGCCTAAAAGTTGATGGAAAACACTTATAATTGTCTTCGGAACATCTCTTATGGAATTTAAAGTTGTTTGGAATGAAATTTAATCTTTGTCAAACTTTCCACTTTTTTAATCTCTTTGCAGGTAGAGGGTCGTAGTTCTTTTAATGTTCAAAAGTTTTTTCTTTCAGATTTCACCTGGAAGGTAACAGCAATGTCTTCAAATGATTGCAGAAAGGTATTCAATAGTTTTTTGGTTACTTAAAGGCAAGTATTTTTTCTTTAGATTTTTGAAATTTTTATATACAGAAGGTTCAGGGGTTTTTAGGGTGAATTAGACTTTCTTGGTTGTTTCGAGTGTTTAAGATATTCAAAATTTTTGAATTTTTTTACAGATCCAGGGTCATGAGCCTTAAATTCGCCAAAATTACCCGAAATGGTGTTTGGAACGTGTATTAAGAATTTCTTGGTTGTTTCAAGAAAAAAAAAATTCAACATTTTTGAAGTTTTTTACAGGTCCGGGGTCATGAAATTTTTCAAAAATGGTTAAATCCTTTTATTCAAAATAAGAGTCTGAAATTCAACGAAACCACCCGAAATGTTGTT